GTGGAGCGGTGCAGCTGCAAGTTTCGCTGGTGCTGCTCCGTCAAGTGCAAGCAATGCCGGCACCTGGTGGAGGTGCACAGCTGCCGCTGAGGGGGCAGTGGGAGGCTGCCGAGGGACTGCAAGGCAGTTGGGGTGAGGACAGCCTGGGGAAAGACACGGGGAAGCAGGGGAAGATGTGGGGGAGACACACAGCCTGAGAGGGAGCAGAGGAGACATGGGGTTTTGCTGCCCTGCTGGAGAGCAGCCCCTGGTGCTGAGGGTGCCATCAGCTCCTGTGTGGTCCCCACCCCGCACCTTCTTGCCAGCCTCGTTGGGCTTTTTGTGGTTTGAATTATTTTTCCTGACAGAGGGTTGGAGGACACAGGCCCAATAAACCCTTAAACTTTAGAAATAAACCAGCTGCAATGGAAAGCAAAGTGCGTATGTCAGCTCCTTCCTCACGTGCTGCATTTGGGACCTGGAGGGTACCCAGCTCTGCTCCCTCACATGAGCTGGGAGGGGATGAGGCCACGCTGGAGTCCTTGTGCTCAGCAGCCACATGGCCTGCAGCAAGCTAGAAACAGCAGGGAGTGGGGTGGGGGGGAGCAGGGACCCACCTTGGACACGAGAGGGTTCACTGAGGGGTGTAATAGAGTGGCAGCAGCAGAGAGAAGGGAGCAAAGTAGGCTTGGGCAGCGAATGGGCTCTTTATACAATACGACTCATCCTTGGGAGAACAAGTATAGGCCTGCAGGGGGAGGCAAGAGATGGCTAGGGACTTCAGACAAGGACACTTGGGCCACTGGCTCTAAATCCAGGTTCCCAGGGCTGATGCCTTCTCCGATGCTCAGCTGCTCCTTTGGCTGGAGAAAATGTTTTCAGGAGGAGTTCCAGCAGGTGCCACAGTGAAACGCTGCTGAGCGAGGCTGCCCTCCTGGTGTGCCACTGCTGATGGTGGAGAGCAGGTGCTTGGAGAGTGAGATCGGGCCATGATGAGCTGGCTGGCCAGCAAGGGGTCTGGGAAGAGCTGTCCAAGTCTATCCAGGCCCTCTGCCCCACCACAGCCCCAGAGAGCCTGCTCTGGAGCCCTGCACTTCCTACGCATCCCCCTGCTATCATGTGTCACCCCTTGGTGAGGCTGAGGAACTTCTGATGCCACAGCTGCACCTCCTCCTCTCCCTCCTTCTCACTCAACACCCGGTATGTCTCGTTTCTGTGACAGCCGCGGCGAGACACCTGCAAGGAGAGCCTGAGTTCATAGGACTGATACCACTGCCCATCCTTCCCCCAGGGAGATGGCATCTGGAGGCTGGGATGATGGGGGGACCAGAGGGAAGAGGGGAGAACCAGCTGGGAAGAGGGAGGGAGAGGAGAATAGCTGAACTGTGTGTTTCCTAAGATACGAGCTAGTCCTCTGTCCTACTCTGGTGTTTCTGGTTTTTGTTACCACCTAGGAAGCACCCAGTAGATGGTGGAGACCCTCCCCTTCAGGGATATACAGGGATACCCCGATGGCTGGGAGGCTCCCCACAGCTCCTCTGTCTCAACATTAGTGACTGTATCCACTGCCATCTCTTACAGTGTCTGTTAAAATTCCACCACCTCAATTACATGCCAGCTGTGCTCAGGTCACTAATTGCCACCCCCACAAACACACCCAAGTGTGTCCTACTGGAGGGACAAGCAGTGGGTCAATGAGTCCTGCAGGGACTCTGGGCTGGCTGTGGAGTTACCAGCCAGCAGTGCAGGCTGCTTCTCACCTTCTGGTTGTAGAGGCTCTGCTGCAGACACTGGTGGCTCTTGAATGCACAGTAGCTGGGGTGCTGAAGTCCACCCGAGTCGCAGATCTGGGGAGATGGGAATGAAGGCTAGAGAAAGAAGAGGAGAAGGAGGTATGGGAGCACCCACTAGGCACCCACCTGGCTCGGCGTATCTCTGTCTTGGAAGGCAGCATACTCTGCCTTCAGCCAGAGGGTCACACGAGGGTCCTCACAGCCATGGGTGGCCATCCGGCTGCACCAGTACTCCACCCTCAGCCCTCTGGAAACCTGCATGCCATAGTACTTCGAGGTCTGTGGGGAGCTGGGCTGCAAAGGGGTGGAATAAAGAGAGCTGTGCTTCTTCCTCCCCTTCCCCAGCACCCAGTCCAGGCTCCTCCTCAGAGGCCATCTGGAGATTCAGCACGCTTGGTACCTTGCCGCCTGCAGCCCGGTACTGGGCTGAGATCTGAGGGTTGATGTAGGTCATGAAGCTGCCTGTCTTGCAGTGAACACGCTTCAGGTTTTTGATGTTCTGACACTGCTCCCTCTTCAGCGAGCAGAAAGCACAGTTGGGGCACAGGTCCATGTGATGCCGCCCGAGGCTGTCACACACCTAGGGTGGATGTAGCAGGGAGGTCGGGGGGGAAAAAGGAGACTGAGGAGCTCCCATATCCCTGGCTTGGAGCTTGCCTCCCTGGCCACCTGGGTCAGCTTCTCCCAGGAGGTGGCACCTGAAAGGACAGTGCTGGCGAGCTCTGGCTGCTGGACCATTGTGGTCAGCACTGCAGGGACCCCTGCACACAGTGGGGCTCAAAGGTGGACATCAGTGTCTTTACCAAATCTCCGAACCCAAGGACTCTTTCTTCCATCTCCTTCCAGGCCTGGGTGACCACTGACGACAGACAGTTTCCCTCCAGCATTGCATAGCACAGGATCACCACTGCCTCATCGTTCTTCAGGGCTAAAAGGCTGACAGAGAAAGGGATGGAGAAAGCCAAGTCTTGTCTCTTGCCACAAGCCGAAGAGACAGACCTTTAGTTAAAAACTGAAAGGGTGGAAAACAACCCCAAAGCATAGCAAAAATCCTTTCCCAAAGAAACCGTGGACTCTTGGCCAAACCACACAGAGGAACAGATGTGTCTGCAGAGTCTGTAAGTGCCTGTGTAACACGGAGGCTACGGGGTGGGGGGTGTGTGTGTGTGTATTTGGGAGCACATCTTGAGGAATTTTCCCAGGCACCCTGCAGCAGCTGCTGCCTAGTTTTGTCCATCCGCATGTATAGCAAGGTGTTTGTTAGAAGTCTGCTGAGTGTTGACCATGGGGCAGGCCCATTTGGGTCTGGAGTATGTAACTTACTAAGCCTCCCTCCTGCTTAAGCATTTGAGCAGAAAGCACAGTTAGGGCACAGGTCCATGTGATGCTGCCTGAGGCTGTCACACACCTAGGGTGGATGCAGCGGGGAGGTCGGGGAGGAAAAAGGAGACTGAGGAGCTCCCATATCCGTGGCTTGGCACTTGCCTCCCTGGCCACCTGGGTCAGCTTCTCCCAGGAGGTGGCACCTAAAAGGACAGTGCTGACGAGCTCTGGCTGCCGGAGCATTGTGGTCAGCACTGCAGGGACCCCTGCACACAGTGGGGGTCAAAGGTAGACATCAGCATCTTAAGTATTTGACAGAAAGGGGAAAAAATTGGTAACAATTAACTGTTCATCCAAACCAGCATGGGAAGCTAAAGGTAGAAAATTTAAGGACAGTGGGACAAGGACAATAAGAATATTTTACATCTCTCAGGAACAGAAGAAATTGTACATATGGTACAGAATTGTTATTAGACAGGGATGGTATGAATGATCAGCAATGATGCAGAAGAGGTAAAAATGCTCATGAAATATTTGTATTCTGTGTCTGGAAACAAAATCAACGATAAGTACACAAACTTTGATCTGGCAGAAAGTAAGAAAAGATAAGAACAACAATTGCTTATGTTAAAATGCTCTTAAAATCCATGCATGGGCTAACCTGTATGGAGAAGTTTTCCTAAGAATAGCTGAAATTTCTTGGAGACCTTCAGATTAGCCTTAAAAAAATAAAAAAAAGAGGTGGAGAACCTGGAGGGAAGTCATGAAGATGAGATTTCCTAAGGCCTGGAAGACTTTCACCTGGAGCAAGAAACTGAAGACCTTTACTTAGCTGAGCAAAGGCACTAGTGGGTGGCCACTCAGTCGGTCTGTACTTCTACCAAAATGGGGATCAGCTGGAAGGCTCTCTTCATCAGCAGGTGGAAGACTAATGACTTTTGGTGATTGGAATTTGGAGTGAGTTCCATTCAAAACAGAAATTAGCTGCATGTTCCTGATGCAAAGGGTATTTAGCATGGGAGCAGCTGATGGGCTGGCTTTTCCACAGCTTGGAGTCTTCAAAAATATATCCCAAACTTCTCTTAGGAGAAGGGTCTGTAGCTCAGCCACATGATACTGTTTTTTAATTCAGGGCTAACTAGGCATGGCTCCATATCCTGTGCTGAGCAGGAAGGCCAGGATGAGTGATCAGAGCAATTGCCAGGCCTGAAGGCTGAAAGAGATCAGTCTCCCCAACATTAAGCTCTTGCGATTACGTGGTGCGTGAAGAAATCAAGCTGTAAGGAGCAACTGGTGTTCACAGATCCATGGATGTGTGAGAGGCATACACTGTATGCACAGGAACATGCAGGTGCTTGGCATTTACACTGAGTTTGGGTGTGCACTCATGTAGAACGTGGGTGAGCATTAGGGTTACTAATAGGAAGAAGTTTTGTCCACCTCCTTAATAGATCCCTGGGCCTTGCCACATACCATGGATGAAGGAGCTCGCAGCACATGCTCTGCACTTGCAGTGGGTCAGAAACAAGTGATCCTGTACCCAAACAGTTCACACTAACCAGCAGCAAATGAGCGTGTCCAGATCTCTGAAGGCACCTCTCACTTAGATACTACAAGAGAACCTGGAAAATCTTAGTCACAGAAAATATAATGAGTGCTAGACTTTTTTTACAGTCAAGCTTGTTTTATCACAGTGCAGCAGATGCTGCTCTAGCCTGCATCGAGGCAAGCGAAGTTGTTCCTTCAACACACGATCCTGTACTGTGCTGTGGACAGGCTGCAAATGGTATTCTGTGGATACAGATGTGTGAACAAATTACTGTGGTGCCAACCCACAGTACATCAGCCACATCCCCTGAAAAAATGAGGACGGCTGAAAACCTGGAAATCTACATATTGCAAGCCTGTGCATCTCTTACTGTGGTGAACCACAGTGTGATCAACCTGGTCAGATGTTTGTGGGAAGGTCCGAGTTCAGAGAGGACAAAGGAATGCAAACTGAGGACAGCAGTGACAGATACCAACGCTTTCAGGCAAAGCTGGAAAGAATTAAAATGTGCCAGTAAAAAAGAGAAACAAAGCTCGTCTATCCTGCAGAGAACACTTCCAGAACCTGTAAGATCCTTTATGCCCACTCCTCCATCCCATGGCTCCACATTCTTGTCTTTTTGTCTTTTTGTCTTTTTTTCCTCTGTAAGTATTCAGACCAGTTAGGATACCAAGAAGAACAGGAAATTTTAAATTTAGAGCAGAACGTCTGTGCTCATCCCACTTGAAAATCTTGCCTAAGGTTGTTCAATTCAGCCCTCTCAGCATTTTTCTGTGACTGGGAGCTGGACATTGCTGAGAGAAGAACCAGTGACAGCCCCCAAGGCACACCTAGCACTTTTCTTCCATAAAGGATTGCTCTTTGTGTGGGGATTTCCTAACACTGACAATTTCTCTCTTAAGCAGTTGTAGCCCAGGAGAACAAGTGTTTGGTCCACTTTGCTCATAAATCTGTGACAGCCAAAGGGAGTCCCTGCCACCACTTAAGATGCCTGACTGCTTAGGCACAGTTGGTTCTTCGCCTTCAAGATTTGGTAAACTGGCCGGGTCATTTTGATGGGACTCACAAATTTCAATTAATGACCTTGATATTATTCTCCAAACTTATCTGAAAGAATTTATCCACAAGTATGTCATTATTGGCTATTGTTCCACTACTTGCTTGTTATTCCAGTGACACATTGTGATTTGATTGCTTCTTCATCACACCAGGATGATCAAGCCAGTAAAGTGAGAGGCACATTAAACAGTCATTAAAAATTATATGAATAGCTCTGGTGTTTTCATCACTGAGGTTGAAAAAAGAAGAAAACTGTCCAGCTTGCTGTACTTTTTTAAAAATAGCAAATAAATAACAACCTGAGGCTTAGAAAGCAACTGCTAATAAATGGGTTTAACAGCCTTTGCTTTCTCCAACACATCTACTGGTCCAACAACTGCAGCCTGAACAAGATGCAAATAGAGGATTACAGGCAAAAGGGGCAGTAAGAGGGAACTTGGCTCCAGCCTTTTCTAAAAAGAGTGCTTCCATAAGTAGCTCATAAGTAGTGATAAAACATCTGCTGAGTGTTGATGACCTACTTGTTCAGAACAGACACAAAGTCAGATGTGGGTAGGAGCCTCTGGTGCATGGCAAACTTTAGATTTATAGACCATATTTGATATGATGGGCTCACGCAGATCAGAAAGCCTCGCATCCCTATGCACCACCGACTGACACTTTGCTGTTGGCCATGTATGCGGATGTACGTGAACTGTGTCTGTAACTTCTGCTTACCTACCCAGGAAATTGAGTCATGCCATCAGCCTAAGGTTACCAAGAAATTCTCTTGCGCTGTCACATCCATTTTCTCCTCTATCTCTGTTCTTCATCTCTGCTGTACGGCTTTCTAGCCTCACGGTTGCAAATTTATGATTTTCGTTACCACCTCTGGGTGAGTGTGATATATCTACATCATCCCCAAGTGACAGCTAGTTCCTGAAAGCAGCTGAGAAGTGTCAGGGGAACCGGTCCACCCCACATCACCAGAACCAGGGATGGGTCCTGCGCTCCTCCCTCACTTGCAGGCACCTGCAATCCATGATGCTGCAGTGCTAGGTGCACCTGGGGGCTGTCCCTGGTCCCTCTCCTGGTGATTTCCAGTGCCCTGGTACTGCTCTTTGGCCTATCCAGCCACTCTCTCACTGCTGCTGCCTTAAGGCAGCGCTGGGGCTTTGTCCCCCATCACTGAGGCACTACAAATGGTACAGACAGACCCGGCACAGCACTGCTTCTGGTCCCCTGCACCCATTGACACACTGCTGAGCTGTTTGCGGATATGCAGAAGTTTTCCCATGCATCAGGGAAACTGATAGGTCTGTCTAAAGTGATTTCCTAATGCAAATCCCTTCCGAGCTTAGTACCTCTACACGTTAATGTCCTAACTGCTGCCCTGGAAAAAGCCTAACAGGTACTGGGAGGCAATGTTTCAAAGGGAATGTGAAAAAATATAATTAAGAAGAATCTGTGGGCCAAGATCAGCCATTGCTCAAAGGCAAAAGAAGAAAACTTCAGATAAAAGCCTATCTTGCTTTAGCATCTCAAGACATGGAGTGACACACATAGAGCCTACTTCAGTAGTATCTCTGAGGAGGGCTGGTTGGCAACATCTGCCTCTCCCTCGATGTAATGACAAGGGTTTGGGCCGTTAACTTTCAGCTGCTGCAACCCAC